AAAGCAAGCACACCTGGGACTAGAGGAATCAAGCCCACTCTGCAGAGCCAGCCCCACGGCCACACTTCGGGATCCGCGCTGTGGCCCAACTCTCCCCAGTGCCTTCTGCCAGGACACGCCTAACACTGAGATGGACTGAAGGGCAGAACGGAAATGACACTTGTTTGCAAGCTGTCTGCAACCTGGTTTAACAGAGGGCCCACTGCGATCCTGCAGGGAGTCATCAGGTGAGTGAAGGGCTAAATAGCAAGTCTGCTGACTTCTGACAGCCAAGGCCTGGGAGCCTTGGAGAACCAGCAAGGACCTTTATGATCATAAAGAAGCTCTCAAAGCAACACAGCTTTTCAAGGGCTTAGTGCCTGGCTTTCCACTTTAAGCTCCCATCTGCAGACCCTTCACTCCACTCAACGCTCAAACTGTTTCAGAGCTGATCGCTGTCCTCCAAACTGGCAGACTAGAACTTGCTTCTTAACATGCCGTGGAGACAGCTGGTAAACAACCTATTACCAAGGCTGCTGGGTTTGTGGAATACAGACGATGAAGACCCGAACGGGATGCTTTACAAGGTGAGGCGAGGAAGCTGCCAGAGCTGGGCAAAGAACTAAGACCAGTGCTGTCCAACAGGGCTTTCCGTGATGCTGAGCACGTTCTAGACTGGCACTGTCCAGTCCTGTAGCCGCTAGCCACATGGAGCTACTGAGCACTTGAAATGTGACTAATGTCACCAAGAAACTAATTTTTAAATTTCATTTAATGCTTTAAAAATTAAAATTTCACTAGTCACACATGACTGTGACCTTATAGACAAGGCAACTCTAGACCCTCCTAAAGACAGATTTACAAGATAAGAACACAGATGTCGTAAAAAATAAAAATATTTAGTACAGTAGCACCTCAGAGTGAAGCGAACTTCAAATGCACCCAAAACAGTGGACTGGAGTTTTTTCAGTCTTTGATTTGTACAAACCACTGAGCCATGCATCCTCAGCCCAAACACACAACCCTGCAGGCAACTCCACCTCCCAGCAGCCCTGAGGCACTGACTGACTCCAGGGCTCCCAGGAGCAAAATCTGGATGCCTTTGACAATGACCAATTGTCTTTTACCAGCTGAAGAAACAGACCCCAGAGGACCAACAGACCTGCCCAGAACCCCAGCCAGGTTTCAGTCCTGAAAGCTGCACCCAGATCTCAGCGCCTACCCCAACCCCCAATCCAGGGCTCTTGCTAGCTAAGCTCAGTGCAGAAACAGGCCTTATCAGCCTTCAGCGCCACATACCTTTACTTCCAGAACTCTCCTGGGGCCCTGCTCCGTTCCTAAGTGCATGGGCCTCAGTGAGGACCAGCTGAGTGAAGGCAGCCGGCCTGTACTACCAGATGGGGACAGAATGTTTCTTGTCAACTGCTGCAAACTATCAAATGGAGCAGTAGCAACACTCAAATGGCGAGGACCTGGACAGAACAAAGATCGCTTAGCAGAAGCATTTAGGAGGAAAAGGACACCCTGAAAGCTCCTTATTACTGAAAGCCAGTCCTCAGAATGCTGCATGAGAACTCACACACCCTCCTTGCAACGATCTGCTTAGAAAGCAACAGAAAGACCAGGAGAAAAGCCCATAGATTTGATGACTCCCTGTTCGTCTCACAAAAGCCCTCCCGAGGACCTAGTTTAAGTCCAAAGCCACAATTGCCGGTGTCTCTACCCCTCGATTTGTATTTTTATTAGCCGTTGAAACAATCTCAAATGACCTCCAGCTTCACCCTCCTCAACTGTACTCAGAGGTGTGAGGATTAAAGGATTAAGGATGTGTGTGCTTGTAACTCACCCAGCAGAGTAACTGTTAAGGAAAAGGCACCCCCTCAATTTATTTTAGTTCCCATGTCCCCACTGGCTATTCTCCAGCCCCTCTGTTCTACTCAGAACACTGTCATCGTTTTGCACAGCCCAAGTTCAACATCAGGTACCAGGGCCAGCAGCTCAGTGGACCGCCACATACAAGGCGTACTTAATGTGAAATGATCAAAGGTAAAATCTGCATGGGGTATTAACACAAGAAAGGGATGTGGAAGAAACAGAACTTGTCCTAGGAAGCAAGGTCTAGGATTAAAATACATCCCACACAGATTAGCAACTCAACAGTATGAAACGATTTCAGTGGGACAAGAGGCCCAGAGGACCCACCACCTCCCCAGAGCAGAGGGAAACGCCTCAGAAGGGCTAAAGGTACTAACTCTTACCCACAACTGTTGACTTGCCCCACAATAGCACGACACAGCACGCCGCAGCCCTTTCATTCTAGACTCACAGAAAGATTAGGAAGGAGTGGCCCAGGGGAAACGGGCTAGAAGGCACCAGCGGGCCAGGCACATGGGGTGCTGCAGGCTCGCTCGAGCCAGGAGGCTGGCTGGCAAAGAGTGCGGGGAAACCAATTTGTTTTTTTCCTTCCAATCAAGTTTCCAGGTCAGAGGTTGGGGGGTAGGGTACTTTAATTAAAATTCAAGTCACTTAGCTGATGCAAGAGAATCTTAACGTCAGTCTCAGAAACTCATCAGGAGGAGAAAAAAAAAAAAGCGTGAGCACCCATCATGCACCAGGCACACTGCCGCATCCCACAAATGTTACCTCAATTTGTCTTTAGGATGAGGGAGAACCCTGCAAAGCCTAAAACTAGCCTCCACCCACAAACACGGATATGACCTGGTTGGGGCTCAAAGCCCAGGAAAAATTGAGGTTACCAGGTAGAGCAAAACAAAGTACTTTAAAATATTAATGCTGAGCAACCTTATGCTAGAGACACATCTCCTTGGCACCTGAGCAGGCACTTACAACAGGCACCTTCATGGTCATCCTGCAGTGGCCAGGTACAATGTATTTCCTAGAAAACAGTGGGGAGAAGGAACCGATATTCACACAAGGCTCCAGCTACACAAATCCATTAGACCAGTCTTGCCCACAGGCTTGGCGGGGATCAGTTACCTGCAAATTTGGGGCCATTACTTGACAATAGGTATGACAATAGAGCCTACTTAGTCCGGGGAGGCATTGAAGCTTCAAGGATTTGCATATCTGCAGGATCCAGAGAAACTACTCTAGACTAGGGCCATTCTTCCTCTGAGAATATACTCAAGAATTATTACCTGGGACCCACAAAACTAGAGGTTAAAGAGGAAAGGTTCAACACAAGTCAAAAAGCTCCCCCAAAATTACCCGGTTTCCCATGCTGAGAAAGTCTTAAATAATCAGCAGGTGAACCACTTGAACGCCAAGAACAGAGGAATCTGATAAATGATCAAATCATGCGGCCCTCTCTTCATTTCAAAGATGCTCTGTATCTTTAAGAGCAAAGATGATGGGTGGTGCTTACTAAGAGCCCAAGCTTATAATTTTTAAAAAAACAAATTTGAGAAGGACTTAGTGAAAGACTTAGTTTACAAGAGCATGGTAAGGTGACTAGTTGCCAGAATTAATAGTTTTTTGTGACTGGTGTTTCTTAATAATTTTGACCAAGGCGGGGGCGGTTGAAGAGCAAAACAACTAAGAGATACCATTGTACCAGGTGTCCAGCAACCCAGATGTTCCTGCAGGAGACACATTTAAACACCAAGTAGCCTGCACTTCAGTAGGGGATAGCTAGCCTAACCTAACTGCCCTGCCCATACACCCTACCTGGCTTGAGAGGCCTCCTCCTACACCTGGGGTTAAGTGCACCGGGTTTGTGTTAGCCGCGGCTGAAGGGAAGAAGGCGCTGGCCAACCTCAGCACCTCGGCGGAAGAGACAGACCGCGAAATGCCCAGAGCCCCCATGCAGTCCCGAGACAATTCGGCACCACCAGCCCCCAACAGCTCCTTTCCTTCTCTGTGCCTCCGTTGGAGAGGAAACGGAAGGACCGGTACCCAAGGGCACAAAATAGTAGAACTGGTAAAAGCCCACCCCGGAGGCATCCAGACCAAGGCCTGTCCAAGCACGTTTTGACCTGTAACCCTGCAACTAGCATGGTCCCTCGGGGCCGGAGCGGGAAGGGAGTGCAGGCAGAACGTGACACGTGACCCACGCGCCCCCGGGCATGAAGTCAGCGGGCACTCAGGGCAAGACGGCCTCTGCCTCTCCGGACACCCTTTGAGGGGCTAAAAGCTAATCCTTTCGAGAGACACTCAGCCTTTGCCATTGGAACCCTAACTCGGTTCAAACGGTCCCTCCGCCCGCAGCAGGGTTCCAATCACAACCCGTCTCCTAGCTCATCCTCCCGGTTCCGCAAACCGAGCCCCTTCCCCTGGTTCACCGCACTGAACTCCCAGAGGCTGGGCTACCTGCTCGGGTTTACCAACCGCCGGGCCTCTGTGGGGAGCACCCACGGCGAGATAAAGAAGCCCGGAAGTTGGGTGAGGCTGCTGAAGCGACCAATGCAACTCCAAACCCCAGCAGCGGGAAGGGGGTGCCCGCGGGCCTTGGGACACCTCCTCGCCCTTGTGAGCACCTAGCCCTGCCCACAGCCGGCCCGCCGCCGCCTCTCCCGGATCAGATCGGGTACACACGACCTTTGAAAAGTAAACGCGTGTGGGGTTGGGCGACCTTGGGTGGGACGCGTTCAGGTCTGTCTCACCAGAGGGTGTGAGCTCTCGGAGAAAGTTACGCCGCAGAGGGGTGCCCCAGGTGTCGCACCCTTGCCTCCTGCCCCCGATGATGGTGACGCGCGTGGGGGACACTGCGCGGTGGCAGAGCGCGGCCCCAGGCAAGCACACGCGATTTGTCAGCGAGAGCCGGGCGGGGGAAGACGAGGGGGCGCGCAGGCGACGAAAGGGAAAGGGCCTGCTTGACAGCAGGCGACGGGCCGGAGCCCCTCTGCACGCGCTAGGAGTCGGGAGCCTCAAGCTCCGGGACACCTGGGGCGCGCGACGCACCTCGCACCTGCACCCTAGGCTCACCATCACCTCGACGGCGTCGCCCTAGGGGCTCGGCAGGTGGTCCCAGGTCCAGCTGCTCCCCAGCGGCCCCAACTTACCAGCTCCTCGGCGACCGTCGGGATGCAGAGTCCTCG